TTATCCGATTACTTATTTGCTATTAACTGAAACTAAATTGAAAACACTTGCCTTAGTGACTCTAGCTTAAAGCCATATGTTTCTTGCATGAATTTTGTTGATATTCATGAACGAGTGCGTTTTTTTTACTTAAAGATTTTTCACATTATAAATTATGCCATAATTACCTAACATCAGCATTGTCTACAGTATTTTGCTTGAACTGAGACCCTAGTACCATTCATCACGAATGAAGAATGCAGTCCCTGGAGCAGAGATTGGATCCAAGCCATCTTCAGGTCTTGAAATGCTGGGTCAGGACCCCTCTTCCTTCTTCCCCTTCTGACCTGATGCTTGTCTATGCCATTCTGCAGGACAGAAGAGTAGCAGAGTGTGTCTCTACCCAACATGACTCTCAGCCTGATAGGAGGTGGATGTTTTTCTGCAAGCAGAAGATGTAATGTCAGATCCACTCAGGGAGGTCCCCAGGGAGCCCCACGGCTGGGACCACAGCACGTGGGTGCCCTGTTCAGGCTCTAACAGATAGAGGTCACTGCATGTGTGTGAGTGCTCCCTCCAGCTTACAGAAGTGCCGAGTATCCCTGAGGTGTCCTAGCACTGAGACTACACTCAGCAGGCTACCGAGGCTGGGTGCAAACCGTGGCAGCCTGGAATGACCATGCAGGACACTTACACCATGCAGTCCCCTCACGCCTGTACAGGAGTCATAGGAGAGCATTTCTCAGAAGTCCTGTCCGTTCTTGGGAAGATGAAGAGTAGCCCAAGGGATGCAGCGAGGGACCGAGTTTTTTTTCCCTGTTTGTTGCCTTATGAGGAGAAAGAAGGATGAACACCTTTCAGCTTTCTCGCCTTTCAGCATATTGTCTCACTGTTCTCATCCATGTAAGAATAGTTGTTCTTCTTTCAGCCAAGGCAAACTGTTTGGATCTTTTGTATTTTAATACTGGAAACCCAAAGCAATGAGAGGAGTGTACGATAGTGTTTATTTTCATTTCCCTTAAAATGAAAGCTTTATAAACCCAGCCAAAGCCGCTATTTCTTTTGTAAGATTTACAGGATAGTGTTAGCTTAATTTGTTTGTTAGGAATTTATGTCTTGGCAAATAGCATCTCTAAAGAGTCACACACATCATATGAAGCCTAAGAAACCTTTTCCCACCCTCTGCCTCTGATGTTCTTTAATGAAAGATGCACTGAACAAATTAAATCCAGCATACCCAAAATATCTGCAGTAATACAGGTAGTTTCCTCTTCTTAAAATTACTTGCAAGTTTCCTTAGTCCAATCTCAGTCTACAGGTGTAACTCTTGAGCTGAATTTGTGAAGGAAACCATTACAGAACTCTTCAGAAAATGGCAGCGTTAAACAACAAGTGATTCTTCTTGCAATTAATGTTGTCATCGTGTTGTAGATATCCAAAGCTGTATCACTAGAATACAATTTTGAACATTTCTTCTTGCAACCTAGTTCTTGAAAAGAAAATGTTCTTTTCATGTTGTAAGATATCTTTTCCTCTTTTATGCTCTGATATTTTTATCAACAAGTTACGTATTTCAAACACTTCCTCCTCTTTCGCTTTTTTTAATTTTGGTCATTTGTTTGAAATTACAAACATAGCATATGGTCAGAAAATCATCTGAAAAAATGAAAATCAGCTAGGAAAAAGTACAGGTTTCAGTAATGTGATGTTTTCTAACATGCAGTTTAAGGGCTTCTTAAGAACTGTTTACCATTTACAAAGGCTAGGCAGTAATGTAACAGTCCAAGTGAAGATTTAGCTTGCAGTGTGACCAATTATGCCATTTTTTGCTTTGTCTGACTGCTAGTGAAGTAAGGTCCATCAGTTGTAATGAGACCTAGTGCAGTGTCGATGCGACTCGGTGGCAGAGTTCAGCGTTTCACACTGCCTGGGCTCTGTCACTCTATTGAATTAGATTGATGATGGCAGATTGCAGGGGGCACTAACTGGACCTCAGTGGGAAAGGATGAAGTGTGTAGACAATCCTGGCAGGCACTGTGCTTTGAGGACCCTTCACCCCTTCACAGCTGTTGGCACTAGTCCATTGCTAACAGTGTCCACAGGACTTTAAAGAGACACTATGGGCCTTCTAATTTATGGTCTTAGTAACTTGTTACTGTCGAGGCAACTGTGACCTCAATTCTCTTATTGACAAAAAGATGAAGTGTTATTTGTTTTCTCTGACCTTTTAACATATGAAAGGCTATAAAAGTTTTTTTTGTTGTTTTTTTTTTCTTTTCTTTCTTTCCATGCCCAAAGTTGCATTTCCTCTCAGATAAGTTTCTACTGACATAGACTTTTATATGCAGGAATCATTACACCGAGACAAGCTCAATGATAAGATGTATCACTGCAGTAAAATAGGTGTATCAGTCATTTCTAAAATGCTTCTGATCTCACTCTTTCTTAACAGCTTTCTAAAGAACGCGAACGTCTTCAAGCAATGATGACCCACTTGCACATGCGACCCTCGGAGCCCAAG